ATGATTCCTAAAATATTAAATATTTCAAATAAAGATAATATTTAGCTTGGGCATAAGGTTTTTGCCATTTCAGAATGTCATTCCCTAATGGTTGCACTTGTGAAGACACATAAATATTAATACAACTTAACCAAAGCATCGTTGACAAATTCTCTAGGGAATAAAATGTAACTTGAAATGGTAACATATTATGCCCAGATAGTTAAAAAAGAGTTTATTCCTAGTGACAAAATGAACCATCATTGCAGAAAGTAAGCTATGAATATTTTGGTCATGCAACAAGGACTGTACAATGCAAATTGTCCTTGTGAAAAGATTCTATGTCTATTATATAGAGAGAGAGATTATCATATGTTAAGAGCTTGATATCCTTTTAATTCACGATTTTCAATATCATATCCCGAACGAGCAAGTCTGCGAGCAATTGAGCAACATCATTTGGAAAGCAAGTGAATAAAAGGATATCAGGGTCTCAACATATAATATCTTGTTTATTACATGTTTAGGGTCAATAAAATGACAAAACTTACAGTTTCCAGTTTACCGTCAAGTGATATCCTATCACTTTACTGATATGGTTTTTATTCACAGCTTTATCACACTGATATCCACCCAAAATGTGTAATAAATAAAATTGTTTTTTATTTCAGTAATTTTTCTAATAAAAAATACAAAGTTGCATGCTAACTTTCTTGTGTTTTAGGGAATTGTTACGTTATTCGAGGTCAGTAAAATGCTTGATGGTGAAAAGTTCCTGCCGACATTGCTCCTGGTGTTGAAGAAACTGGAACAAATGAATGGACAGGTACATGTGATAATAAACAGAAGAGATAACTAGCTAAAAACTAGTGTGAGCTGTGTCGGTGTTTCTAATGAACCAGTAATGTTAAAAATTTAAAATATACAGTGTGAAAAGATGAAAAAGCTTGCTGACGTTTCGGACGCTCGTCCTTCCCTTTTACTCCAACAAAGGACTAGCATCCGAAATGTCAGTAAGTTTTTTCATCTTTTCACGGTGTATAATTTACCCTTTTATCATTACTGTAATAATAAACAATAATATACAATTATTGACAGATTATTGGATAAGATTTTGATGATATCCAGAATTATCAATCAATGATT